CCAAAAATAAAAATCCCCAAGCAAATAAAAAAAAATTTCTGCACAGCCTATCGAGTGTCATGGGAGGTAGCCCCATGGATGTCCTCTGTAAAAAGTGCTCAAGTACTGTAATCAATTGACCTCGACCGATCAACAACTTCATCTGCATCTTCTCTGCCCAATTATATGTTCAACCAGCAGTAACCCAAGCTCAGATGGTTCAGCCATGTAAAGGCCCCATGCTCTTAACCCTTCTTGACCCCTCTCCTGGGGGGGAAAAGAGAAGCCTGGAGTGTTGAGAAGGAAGGGGTGGGGGTGGGGGGTGGATCCCCTCAGAGGGACAAGCCTCTGAGTTGAGCCCTGTAATTAGCTGAGATGATGCCTCTTGGATGGGGGTCACTGCAGTAGACTGTCTCGTAGATGGACAGATGATGAAAGCTGAGACCTGGTGGGGTTTTAGACAGGTTTCAGAGGGAAGTTACGTCTTCAAAAGGGGTATATGCCAGTACATTCAAGAAGAAGTGGATAATATTCTATAGAAATGGTTTGTACAGTACAGTGTACGGTGCTGGTAATCATAAATACGTGTACATGTACATAGTACATTTCCACATTGTTTAGCAAAATTCAGTGGTCACTATCACCCCATTGCTACTGTACCATACAATTGAAAGGTGTATAAAGTGAAAAAAATGAGCAGTTCAGTAGTACTACCAGTATTACTGAATATGAATCCTCTGCTATTCAGTTTACCTGATAAATCACTGATACATGTATGCACTTGCAGTTACATAATGTACAAGTACTGATTTGATGACATTATAAATCCGGACAGGGTACTGTACATGCAGTGTAGCAGTTTCATTTGATATGAATTATTCCTACAGAAAACCTAATTACCGGTATGTGGATACTCAGTCAATTGCATATAAGGACCGGTACGTGTACACATATAAAGTGTAATGTTTAAAAAAAACTGTGTCTACAATAGGAAACTAGATCAATTGACAAACAAGTAAAAAGCCTCAAGTACAGGGTGAGTGGTTATTTCAATAATGAAAGCAAAATTAGGGGGGAAGAGGACTCTGTGGTCAGTGGGGTTGGGGACAGATATCAGGTAACATCTCAGAAAATTACCTTTCTGAATGCAGGTACATTTGTGTTTCAAAAATGCTTTAAATTTAAACATTTTGTTTAAACCCAATACCCGGACTCTAACACACACCGGTAATTGTAAAAGGAATGAACATTAATGCCAGATGATACATTAACATGAACAAAAAGGGTAAGCTGAGAAGCAGCAACCTTCAACCTCCCCCCCCCCATGGTTTCTTATCTACATGTATCCCTTAATATACCGGTATCTGTGGATTACAGACTACCTGTGCATTGTAATCCGACTGGATGCCGTTATCAATTTGGGTCGCTGACTTAGCCTACATTCACGTCTTATTCCCAAGCAATAGTCGCATCGGACTTCTTCGAGCAGGGTAATCCGACCGTACTCATTAGGAAAATACAGAATTCTTCTAAGGCTGGTAAAAAGGTGGTCAATTTTGCCTTTCTTTGCTACTTCTGAAAAAGAGGATTATTATCTAATATTTCTGAAATGCATGCTATGCTGCAGTGCACACTGCCTTTCCCTACCCTTGCCGAAACTAACCTCCCCACCACATTGACTAAGTTTTGATCACTTGAAATGAAAAACAATACTCCCAACTTTCAGGCTTCAACCACAAACCTAACCATAATTATCGTTATTTCTTGCACAAAGGAATGAGATTAGCGTTACCAATTCTGGGTTGATATTTCACAGCAGTTCACCCATAGATGTATCTCTGAAGGGAGAAAGTTCTTGATGTTTTCTTCCTGCGACAGTGTTTCACATGAACTCAGTGAAAACATTATACTTCCACATGGCATAAAGATGTCACTGTACCTGGTCAATGTCTGACAACAGAGGGGGTAGTGACAATTTCATAGGTATGGTGTAATTCGACCACCGGAATTAGAAGCCATTACTGTGGTGGCACAACGCTCGTTGACAGGTGGTATGCGCACGTTTCATGCCTCTTCGTCCAATAGGGTGTCGTGATTTGCTGAACGCACGCGTCAAGCTGAGGAATGTGCGTGTGAGTGGGGTGCCACCGCAGTTTGGGCATCTTATCGGATTAGCCTATACATGTACATGTACCAACCGCGGCCCTCCCTACACCCATGGAGGAGTGTGTTCCTTCCTCCATGATACAACTAAGGCCGTGTCCAAAATGGGCTTCCAGAGGCTAGCTACCGTACGGCTAGGTCTGATGTCTGTGTGTCTCCGCATGTACTTCCAATGGAGTGAAGACCTAGACCTAGCTCTGGACAACAAATCTGGATGCAGCCTTAGTCTTGCACTCGGAAGCTCATGACAGGCTCCTACAATAGCTGTAATTCCAGTCACATGTCTGCAAACCATTCTTTGCCCGTCGTAAGAGTATGCCGGGCGACTTGTCCAAGATAAATGGCTTACCTTCCTGAATTTCTCCAACTGCTTGTAGGTGTCCGGGTCTAGTTCCTTGGAGATGTCCTTCATCCACAGCAAGGCTGCTCTATACTCTAGCCTGGCACCCTCCATCCTGTTGATGGTCATCAGGGTGTCTGAGATGGCTCGGTATCGGAAGGTCTCAATCTCTTGGTAGAGTCGCACTAGTGGGGCTCTCAGGCCTAGCCTGTAGATTGGAAGAGAGTCAAGATCACTTACATGTAAGATGCTGGAAATCTTTATAAAATTTGTAAAACCTAAAGCAGTGCATTTGCACCAACTCCTGCATTCAATTTGACTCTCACATGACTTCTGTCGCACACTCTCGCCCAAGTGACCAGCCCACTGAGCAGGTCACTTGGGGAGGTAACTAGTGTTATAGCCAGCCATAATTTAGTGCCGGACAATTTAGTAATGGAGAACGCAGGGAGCAAAGCAACTGGAGTCTTGCGGGTCATGGCCGCGGGGTCCAGGGGCCCGCCTAAGGGGACTCTAGATCGCTTTTTTAGTAAGTTTTTCTTTCCAAATTGATTATGAGTTCAATTTTTAAAATCTTTCCGAATAAAAACATGAAATTTTCAGAGTGACTAATTTTTTTTCTGGGATTTTTTTTGCCGGTTGATGGGCTGTTTCATCAAGCTTGGGGCCCTACGGTAGAATGCTCCAGTGGAGATCCCTGACGGATGCCGACCGGCATAGATATAACACTGGAAGTACCCCAAAATACAATGCAAAAACATGGCAGCTTAGATGAAGGTTGCAACAGAAATTGAAGCCATGGTAAATAAATCAGAAAAATAACTGAATGCATTGGCCAATCAGCTCAAGTCATGGGCACTTATTCAGTTCTGTGAAAGAAAGGCAAGAAATGTGTGTCTGGACATCCATTGCTTTGATAGTTGTAATTCAGTTTCTAAATTTAATCGCCAAAATGACCTCTTGACCTAATCGGGACATCTCAAGTAACCTAAGATTGTTCGTTTGTAACCGCATACCGCACAGGTCCCTCTGATGAACCTGTGACGACACCACAGGTAAGGACTAATCATCATTCTGCAGTGGGAGCAACTCACATACCACTACGGTACACAGTGCCACCAAGACGCTGCAAGAAAGTAGCCAGTAAATTAATGGCACAGATCAGCTTCCATGTGTAAAACAATCACCCTGCCCTTTCCAAGAAACTTTTTGAATCCTTTGTGGTAGTTTTACTATTTTGGAACACATACTCTTCAAGGCAACAGGTGTCCAATTTCTATTTGGTACCATACACCGCTACATGCATGTATAATGAACATGATGAATAGGATATTATACATGTAAATCCTGAAATGATATCAAGAATTGCATGTATTATCGACCATTTACTCAAATCAAGCGAAACACAGGAAAGGTATTACATCTGTCTCCCTGAACAGATCGCATTAACCAACAGGGGAGCCCGGTACCGGAGACGTTGGCTGTATGTGCATGGCCCGGGTGCCCGAAATCGGACAAAAGGAACTGGGCCTTGTAACAAATGACTGAGCTCGGAACAAAAACTGAGCTGCTGGGAATTGCCAAAAAGTTTCAGCCCAGAGTGTTGTCATTTTCAGAGGTAATCCATCATTGTTTTGAAACAGTATACCACTGTTTGCGGCACTCAGCGCCTGTGGAATATCAGTGGGGACAAAAGTGCTTCAGCATGCCAGCCGTGAGCGGTACAATACCGCTGCACGCTAATCTGGCCGCATCTGTAAAGACAACACTTCCATTCAGCAATGCACTGGGCCAATTACGGGAACAATGGAAATCAAGCAACACCGCACAATTGTGGGCTCCCTTTAGTGGGTGGCAGGCCTGGCTGCAATACCCGGGCATCAATGGAGGTTGCCTATCAGATTAAAGTAGCCAACAGACAGTCATTCGTGTGGGTGTAAGCGTCCTGTAAATGAAGTTATGAATTTTTGAACAATTTTGAAAATGGAAAAATCATGAAAAATCGTTCCATATGTGCAGATCCCCTTCCCAGAAGAGGATCATGAATATTCAAGAAACTCTTAAAAATAAACACACACTCTGAACATTTACCTTGAGGGTCTTGATGTTGCAAGATTCGGGGACAACGGATTCTCAGCAAAAATAAATTGACCAGTTTCAAGACTTCCACACTGAGAGGGCAGATCCCATCTCTTAGTCTCACCTTTGTTCTGACGATACAATCTGTGCCTTGCCCACAGCAGCCATCATCTTGCCTGCCCTCGTCTTGTCATGACTGCTCTGTGACTTGAGGAAGCGACCCATGGCGTTCTCATCCTGAGAAAGAGCTGGGTTAACCAAAGGAGTCAAATAAACAGTGCAGTTAGAATCTTGATAAATTTCTGGCTGGTACTTTACTTTTCAGATGGTCAGTGCCTCACTTAGAAATCTGCTCATTTATGCAACCATACCTTACTTTACATGGCAAAAATGTTAAACCACATATCCTATTTGGTACGGTTCGAGTTTTTAAACTTCTCAGTCTGCAAATATTTGCATCAATTTACCAAAGGAATGGCACAGAGTACCCAAAGCGTGATGCTGTTTTGACCGGGAAGTGAATGGAGTAGGCGTATCTGTTGGTTCATGCGCTAGTTCTCGCGATAATGTCTTTTACTCACATACATGTAACTGTGCATGTTACGTACATGTACTGTATTCATTTCAGTACAGTCTACTCTGTACAATTGGCTCTTCAGTGGTAATAAATGCAACATACAAGTATTCATGGATACTTGGAAGCAATTTCCCTTGTGCACTTGTGCTCAGCTTCATCTACGTACTTGTAACACAAAGATGCTTAAGGTTTGTGTACATTCAGCCAAGCATGGGCTAACACATTTTACTCCACAGCAGGTGTGTAAAGAACCCTTTGTCAGAAAATGGCAATCCGAGCATATAAACTAACAGCCAGGCGACACGTCCTCCCTTTTGCTATCATAAGTAAGCAAAACAGAACAATCCACAGGGAGTTCATGTGGCTACCCAGGTGTGTTCAATAGCGGATTTACTAAATACCCTCCTCCGCATTCAAAACTGGGTACCGGTACGAATCCAGAGGGTGGCAGTCCAGACATATCAGGTCCACATAATTCAGCATCTTGGCACATCATCATAAAGCTACTCACCACATAAGTTATCTTGGAATTTCTCAATTATTCTCAAAAGGTCCATGCAGGTCTTCTGTATTGAACGGAACACCTGTAAAGCAATGGAACAGGCGAGGTTGAGAAACCGTAGTCTGGCAAATTCTTACGATACTGTTGGCATTTCCACTGCCAGATCAATGTTTGAGGCCAGGGGTGGCTGATCTACAGATTGCCACAGAGACTGCCTTTTTGGTCAAACTCTGAACTTCTATGCTGTTTGTCCTATTTTGACTGAGTGCTTCTGTTTAGGCCGAGATAGAGCAGCATCGCACAACCGCAAAGTGGGTATTATCCCAGATGAAAGACTTTACATCACATCTGTGCACAGGGACAAGTAATACCCTCAAACCTTCTTAACTTGTAATGGTTGCTGTGTACCTTCATTGCCTTCCTCATACTGTATGTGTAGTCTGATAGGTCTACTTTATGGCCTGATAAAGTTCATCGTCTGATCTAGTTCAAAGTCGTAGTTTACTCTGTGATCTAGTTCACAGTCTGACTGATCCAGTTCCCTGGTGCACATAGAATCTGTCTGTGTTCATGTGGATATCCCCTGCATATACAAAACATGTTGACTGCACTGAGACCCTTACTGAATGAAAGATGCTTGGGCCTTTGTCCCTTTTTACATTGAAAGTACTAAAGTACTCAAGAGGTCCAGCAAAGCTGGGTTGTACATCTTGCAAAAACTGTTGAATGTACGGTAAATCTGCCGACTCAAAAGCCACTACTGTGGTGGTATCACACTTGGGTTTATAAGGTTGTGCACATGTACATGTATTACATGTAAATACATGTACTTTGCTGACTAATATGGTGTTGAAACTTGCCAAAATGACCGTGCACCACAAGTTAAAGAACACACATGATGTGTGTGAGTCACATGATACGGGAATATTTCTGTTATCTTTTTGCTCATTCGATTTCTGTGACATTTCACACTCACCTCGAGCTTGGCGTCCAGCTCTGAATCCCCAGCCACTACAAACTCATCTTCCTTCCGGCCAAGTTTCTTGATGACCGCCTGTTTGGTCACCCAGTACTGCTTCTGCACCCTGTTAGCCACTGACTTGCCTGACTGCTGGTGTTGTTGCTGGACGTGGCGGTCGTAGGCTGATGATGAATAGCCACCTGAATCCCAGCTGAGGAAAAAAAGTGGAAATTGGCAAATCCAAGATGTCAGTCACAGATTTAACTTATTTAACCTTATGATTATGTTGATTATACAGTGGCACCAGCTGGACTACAACAAAACATTTCAACAAAATTTCAGCTCGCAAGAAAAAAAGGAGAAAAAAGCCTGAACTGCAAGAGGTAAATGTATTCTTGCAGGGGAATCTTTCAAAATCCTTCAAAGTCCTCCAAAACCAAACGGTAGACTTTTGATGATCTGCCAAGTCTGGGCTTCATGTATAGGCTGAAGAACAGAAGACCCAAATTAAAACAAGATAGTACAAGTTTCAGAGAAATAATGCCCCCTACATAGCTTCATTCCTCTGTAAACAAGGCTTGATGTGATGCAAAAAAGAGAACCATACTAGTTTGGTGCCTAAATGAATTATCCAGAATAAACACGGCAGACACATGTACATACTGTAATTAAGCATCCCACAAAAGTCAATGATCCATTGGATTTATTCAGAAAGATGAAACCTACAGGTAATGGAGACTGTTGAAACACATTACCCATACTTTGCATGTCAATACGCACAACAGGTACATTTATAGGGAGACTCAGTATCGGAAGGGAGAAATGGAGAGATTCACAGGCCTTCATTTTCACCTATTTTCTGGGAGCAACATTGAGCAACACACTGTTGTAGCCCATTGTAGCCCGTTGTAGCCCATTGTAGCGTGGTTTTCAAATACTCATCTTCACCTCCATCTCTACCAGATTTTAAACCCCCTGACTTTGAAGCTGTTATCGTGCCATTGGAACATCCAACAAAATGCCACAGAGCCAAATGTTGAAGAATTTCGTATGAACACAGTACATGTAGGTCTACCAGAACATTTGGGGATTGATTTCAGTGATGAACTCCTTGAGTCGCAGACAAATCAGAATGTGATGCCTGAAGATATTTCCCATTACATACACATGTACATTTCCTCCCCTTTATGACAGCTTGATGATTTAACATGGTCCCAAGTGCAATGGACAAAGATCACTTATTCAAGTGTGTCAGCACAGTACGTGTGTGCAGTTCCAGGTGATGCTCATGTACAAACAGCTAAATTGCTTACATACATGTGCATATACAAACTACATCATACAGTACATGTATACGGCTCAGGTACAGCCCAACGACATGAGGTAAAAAGTTTCAAAGCTTAGAAGTTCCAGGAATACACAATGGAGACTACCACAATATAGTGAAGTACATGTACATGTACCACTGACCAGCAGACAACATTCATGTACAGTCTTCTAGAAACTTCTAGCAGGCAATGCCGCATGTTTACTTGTTTATTTTAGACATGTTATGAATCTTCTTGTACACCTGCCTCTCCCCCCTCCAAAAAGAAAATTCCCCTTGGTGATAACAGATTTCTGTGGGGCTGCACAGCCTACAAACATCACAAATGTAAATCAGTTCCCTTCATTTGTCTGGTATATGTGTGCATATACATGTACATGCACTGTGTGTTAAAGTACATGTAAATAAAATTCAAGAATTGGTAATTTATTCACTTCAAACAAAAGTCTAATTAAACTCCCTAGGGCGTAGGGTGTGAGCAAAATCATTTTCAAATTGGAGGATTCAAGAATGTTAGGGTTAAAGCTTCGGTCTATCAATAAATTAATTCAGTCACTTGCAATAATTCCCTAAATTGGTTCATTTTCTCTGGAATATTGACTTTTTAATATTCACGGAAAACTGTATGAATAACATATTTGCATGAACAAGCAGGAATATCGATCGGTACATAAATTTCTAAACTCATCTCTGTCATGTCTGTAGTCTTAAGCAGAGTAGTGGATAATGTACACATGTAAACGGTACATAAATGGAGCAGATACATGGATGATGTATTTGTAGGAGCCTCCACACAATCAAACTGGTACAAACTCGATGCCAAAGAGATGAAAATACAGTAGTTTCAATTGAATACAAATTACCTTAGTCGTAACGGCGTTACCTGTAAATGAATAAACTAAAACCTACAGTTTTCAATGAGCCAGTTCAATATTCCAATGGCGCACAGTCGAGCACATGCAAAATGATGAGCATCGTGGGTCATAAACATACATGTACATAACTATCCAGTAGGTAAAACTTGACTATATCCATGTGGCTCTACATGGACTTGTACTGGTGTGCCAATTTACATGTATGTGCACTTGCTGCAAATTAGTACACCGTACATATACCGGTATTTACCTGTAGCTGCCATGACTTTGGCAGTTTTACGTTATCCTGAATGACCTTGCCTTGTTTGAATAATGAAGTGGTTTATTTTGTCATGATCAATTTCTAGGGGGCTTTCAAAATTTCATTTCTATCCTCATCCTTTGCCTTCAAAAAGTTTGGCTTCAGAGGTGCAGCGTTCAAGTACATATAGTACATGTACGTGCATCGGTACAAAGCACATAAAATAAACATGTGTAAAATGTACATTTTGTACATACCACAGTCTGCTAAAAGCACCTGCCAAGATAGTCATGATTGATACAATTTGTACACTCTGCTAACATTCATTTTATGTTATGGTTACATTCATTGTCTAAATGTTTTATGTACAGTACAAGGTATCACATTTTACACCATTTAATCAAGACAAGTATGCAACGTATACATGTATGCTGTTTGTGACTGTTTTGATATGAATCGCTTGTAATTTACTTTTTGGTAATTTACTTATGGTGTTTTTAATTAGCTGTTCAAACATAATGTAATTGCCCTTTACAGGATAAATAAAGCATTTTGAATTGAATATAATTGAATTGTTGATGTCCTTATAAATCTACCGGTATGTGTACATGTACGTGTACATGACTTATTGTTTACGTCATATTAACTGAGGTACTGGGTATGAGTAACTGTCATACGGAACTTTACTTCGAAATATGAAGGTACATGTACGTACATGCACGTATCTTAACACATGTACAAATCCTACACTTAATACTGCAACACAGTTAAGGACTGAACCAAGGCACTCACCTATCTTGGGACAGCTGATGGTACTGAACATGGTTCCATTTGGCACAGCCAGTTTGCAAATGGTGTCTATGCATTTGTGTTAGCGCTTCACTTTCAAATCCAGATTAAAATGTCTGAAGCTCAGCAGCACCTGACATGCTGCACTTGATGCGCCAACAGGTACACTTTCACGCATGCACCTACATGTATGGGCTGTGTATTGCTGTGTAACCCAGTTCAGGCAAAATGGAATCCTTGTCCATTCAGCAGGCAACACCAGAAATCACTCAACCAGGTAACACTGGATGAATGAATCGACACAGCCTTATTCAACAAAGAGTGTTTTTACCACTTTACTCCTGACATGTACAGTCAACACACAATTAGCAGCAAGGCAGAAAATGTGATTCAATTATAGCGGGTGCTTACATGTATCACAAAGGCTGCCCCATCTGCACACACAGTTAATGGAGCAACTCAAAAATATCCACAACTGCTGGACCATGTCCATCTCAAATTCTCAGCAGCATTATAAAGTTGAACATGGAAGGTCTATTCCTGGCGGACAGTTTAACTGCCTATAAAATGTATTCAAATTAACAGCAGAGTAGCAGAGATAAATCGAGCAGGGTGTGCATCACAGCAATGTTCATGGTCCCACAACTTTGAGTAGGAAAGGACTGCACAATGTGGTGAGCGCTGAACACAGGTAAGACTCCACAACAGCTCATGCCCGCGTGTACTGGTACATGTAAGTCCTTTGAATTGTAACACTATTCAACCATTGCAACTGCATGGACTAACAATTTGGTACAGTACTTGTAATTTGATTGCTCCTACGTTGCCAGATGTTTACTGTTTTCTAAATTATAGTGTGCATACATGGTTACATATACATATACTGCACTTTTTCAAGAAGGATATCCATACGGCCTGACCTTATCGAAAAAGCAAATGCCAGCAACAATTTGTTAGAACAGTGACTAATGTGCATGTAAATCAGCAATACACTCAGTGCATGACTTCTTAAAATTCCACATACATGTAATCTTAACGTTCGTTCCGGCTATTGAGCAGGAAAAAAGCCTTAATATAGATTTGTCACAACCGTGTGTGTCGCAAATAACATCAACTGAATCTAACTGAACAAAGCCTTCTTAGCAAAGTTCCACATTTATTTTTGCACAGAATTTTATATTAAAAATCCTGCGAAACCTGTACGCTTGGGACTGAATCCAAATTTAAAATTTGAAATTGTTGAAATTTTCACATTAGCAATGGAAATTTAGTTGGCAGGGAAGAAAAGAAATACTAGACAAAACTGGGGAAGAGTTAGGAAAGTTTGGCTGTTACACAAACAAGACAATCCCAACTTGCTAAAACAACCTGCACTAAATCTACACATACTGTACAAGTAGCAGATGTACGGGATGTGATGGTGGGGTGGGCAGACAGGTAGTGGGACATAACATTGTATTCTCATGACTGGTACTGTAATATCCCCATGGTGCTTACAAGTAATCTTCTCTGTGCATATCCTGTTATGGCTGATGCAAATTTATTCATGAATAGCATTATCTGTACTGCCAGCAAGACAGTATATCCCTCGGTAAGAAATTACATGTAGCTGGTACACAGTGCTGGATCCAACTTGAAGACAGGTGAGGGGATGCCCAGAATTCATGAATTGGGATTGCCCTAAAATAAAGGTACATGTACATGTATAAGCAAGCCTAAATAGAGGTGGGGCATATTTTTTTGAGAATTTCTGATTTTAAAGTTTAAATTAACAGTCCAGAGCAAATGAAGAAGTGCCAGATAGGCGGAAAGAAAAAAAGGTCTTCGTTTAAAAAAAGGGGAGGGTCACATGCTGGTTGTGGCCTGGGAAAAATTACATCTACATGAAGAACAGAGTACATGTACATATGTACAATGCACGTGGATGCCCTGTCGTGGAGGGCGTACTCCGAAAAGAGACTGGGATTACATTTACTGGGAGGTTGAAAACAATCTGAATGTTACATGTGCATGCAGTACTTCTACAGGTGAACTCAGAGCAAGGAATGCACCTACAACATATGCACATACTCTCCAAATTACAAAAGCAACGAAACATTATCCAATGCACAGCAAGTCTGAAGAAAAGTAAGTGAAAGGCTGGAATCATGTTACAAAGTTGCTTAGCAGGCAGACACACAATCAGCAAACTGCTGGTTGTCTGACTCATTTGTGCTTGCCCAGTGAGAAACTGGAAAGCCCAAAAGTATCTGCTTAGCATCTCTATGAAATGGCCTGATATCAGAAGAATGAGTGAAAACACTAGAACACCTCAAGATGCTTACCTGTCCAGAAAAGGTTCGCTGCACACAGGAAAAAGGAAGAGTGAAAGAATATGGCAAAGTGAAAATTTATCCCAAAATACGTACTCAAAAGAAAGAACTCCTGACCAATTCTATTCTGAAGGAAAATGACCAGTAACGGTAACACTCAACAGCTCATTGAATTGTCTCTGTAACTTTGGATGTCTCCAAGAAATTTATCCGTTTCAGTGTCAGCAAATCATTGTTAACCCCACAGATGTTACTAAAAATTTTCCAGAGTCCTTCAAAATCAACTTGTGGTACCAGGTCACAAAACCAAAACATTTTGTACTTGAACTTTGAAGAGCATCACACCCCAAGAAGTTAATGAGACATAAATGTACATGGACCATCAGGAATCCTGTCAGTACCTCCAAAACCTCAGAGGCAGATATTGGGCCTGTTTGTTTCACGTGGATTTGGATCTGGATCAGTGATCCCAAAGGTGGTTAGCACCATCCACGATGCGGTTTTTGGTGTCCGTAAACCAACGACGGATCACTAATTGTGATCCGGATCCGTGTGAAACAAACACGGCCATATTGAGGGAATCTCTCAACCTTGCCTGCCCCTGTTGATGAGCGGGCTTCACATTAAGGCATGTTTGGTCATCTGGAGGCTACAATCTGTCATTCTACATGCAGTTCAACTGTTCAACTGGTACTTCAGTCCACACCCACATTTCAGTATTTATTGATTTCTGTCTCGCGGCAAGACCGGCACATACATCCAACCCAGACCTAGCCTGCATTAACACAAACACATCCTAACAAGCCACATGTATTTACTCTTCACATATTTTTAGCTCCACACCTACACGCATGCACCTGTTAGTGCAAGAACTGCCATGTCGCGTGACTTTGCTATCTGGGCCATATTCAGTAACCCAGATATTTCTCTCTATTGAACCAGATGCACCCGCATTTGTAAGTCCTGATGATAACTATGGTACTTTACTAGCCGGTGATCCACACATGGTGATGTACATATATCCCTCCCCTCTCTCTGCTCCCCTTTTCTTTTGCACACAATTTACACATACATGCTAACAATGTGCATGTACAGGTCAGTTGATTCTAATAAGTCAACAGATGGCTGCTAGAGGTCGTGTGGCCACTCCCCCTTGGACCAGTGTTGCAGTTCCATGTACATGTCATGAACCTTTTCTGTAGGTCCTCAGGCATCTTCAACTCAGCCAGGGATACAAACAATGTTGCGTGTTTAATAACACACAGTTACCATTGGTGACCATGGAATTTGCTTTACCGAGGTGACTTCTGCCAGTACTTGCACCAATGGAACCCTGCTGTAGACAAATCCAGTAACCATGGTTAAACTACTGCTGGTCATTTGCAGTGGCCCCCTGCCAATGGTGGTAAGCATCATGATGACTACATGTATTGTAAGGAGCCAGTGTTCCCTGACAGCCAACGAGTACAAAACCCAAGAGTACTTTCTGCATCAGGACTATCTAGTGACATATTGCCGGATTTGTACATAACTTAACAGGCATGCAACTTGGACTTTGACCCAAAACGAGGAAATTGCAATCTTTACAACACTTTGCACAATTTTTAAAAACTTTTCAGTGGAATGAGTGTGAAGAGAAAACGAGGCGATCAGTTGATCCAAGGAAAAGTTGCATGCCTGACTTCAACAGAATTCAACAAGAACACGGCAGCTTTATTCACTTTTCAGATCAAACTACCGTACATGTACATGTACATTCAACATGCTTGAACATGACAGGTTAGGGATGAGGAGGCTCACATCAACTCGTGAGCGTAAAAAAACTAAAGTCTTTTCGTTTTCAAAATCTTCAACTCAAGGGCTGATAACTATGAAGGGCACTGTGTTGACCTCCTAATGAGGGCAATGTGAGAGAAGTGAATGCGTGAAGACTGTCAGTTTCTTAAAACGACCACTTACCCGCTGCTTTTATCCATCCTATTAAAGGAGGAGAGTCAACGCACACTTGAGACTAGCAAGGTTGGAAAATCATCTGTAAAGATAGAAAATAGAGACATCAATTGAATGGACCAAGACCAAATCCTTAACAATCTGAAGTTACAGAATGTGCAGGCAAACTACAAAGCACACATCTGAAACATCACAACCTGGACATGTACTGTAGAACGTGAAACATGCACACTACCTCTTGGTGAGACTGTATATCAAAATCTGATGCCCTGACATAAGCCATAAGATGTTTAGTTTTTCCCCCAAAAAGAAAAGAATCTGTGTATGT